TGGTTGCACCATTTTATACTTCCACCAGCAGTGAATAAGGGTTCCAGTCTCTCCCTAACCTCGCCAGCATTTGTTGTTTGCTGTTCTGTTAAATTTTGCTATTCTTACTGGGGTAAGATGATATCTCATAGTTGTTTTAATACTTACCTTTTCTTGATTGCTTGATACTTATATTATAACAGTGAAATGGGACCTTTTCTCAAATTACTAGATGACTTTCAGATTGTCTTATTTAAAAAAGTAAAAGCTTTTATTCTTTTTCTTAAAAGCTAAGCTTGTTAACTTATAGCAGTCAAGCATGTTAACTGTTTTCTGATAAAGTTATCTCAAAGAAGTTCTTATTTGGGTTGGAATGGAAACAGATTTACTTGAAAAACCCAAGATAAAGAAAAATGAAAGTTAAATAGTGTCATCTGGTTGGATGCATGCAGCCTCTGGAGCCTGGAACAGAGACAGGTTGTAGAGCCCTGGTGTGTCCACTTGCCGTACAGAGGTGACTTGTGGTTGCTGTGAAGCTGAACACTGTGACACTGATGTGTCAAATACAAAAATGGTTACCCATGGTGGACAGTGTTTTTCGGAGGTCCCCTATTAAAAAAAACTTGGAAGCAGGAGTGGCATCCACGTCTGTAAATAGCTTGCCTCTGGAAACCCTATGAACCTGGAAGAAAGGATGAAAGTCACGCAAGTGTCGAGGACTTTTGTTCATAGGGTTGCTATGAGTTACCTACAACTCAACGGCATTTAACAACAACAATAACAAAAATGAAAGTTAAATAGTAGTTTCTTTTTCTTGATCTTAATTAAACCTGAAATATTGTAGAAGCTGTATGAAAATACTTGGGTTCACAGGACACTAGTTTTAAATGCTGATATAATTACTTATGTTACCTCATTACAAAGAAGACATTTTAATTAGCTGTATGTATGGAGCCTTCGGTATGGATTGCATCTCAATGTCAAGAAAACACTGGACCGATAGGCAGCATCATGGTGAATGGAGAGATTGAAATTGTCAATAGCTTACTTGGATCCACAGTTAACACCCTTGGTACCAGAAGTCAGACAATAAGGAGATACATGCATTGGGAAAATCTATAATTAGGTACCTCTCAAATTATTGATGAGTAATGATGTCAGTTTGAGGAATAAGGTGCAACTGATTCAGGCTGTAGTCTTTTCAATTACTTTCTGTGCATCTCTGAGAGCTGGGCAGTGAATAACAGAAAAAGAGTTAATGCCTTTGAACTGTGATGTTGGAGAACGGCCAAGAGAACAAACAAATATATCTTGGAGAGGGGGCAGCTGGAGTGCTCTTTGGAGGCAAGACTTTGGGGATGTTACTAGAAGGGGCCATTCCTTGGAGAGGGACATGATGCTGGGAATGGTGGAGGGTTGGTGAAAGAAAGGAAGATCCTCAACCAGGTGAATTCACACAGTGACTACTACTTCAGTGGGATCTGGTGTGTTAGGAAGTCTGAGTATGGCACAGGATAGGACTGGGTTCAATCAGATCTTTTGTTCATAGGGTTGCTATGAAGTCATACTCAACTCGATGGCACCTAACAATAGCAACAACAATGTAGTATGGCATCAGGATTGTAAGGAGACTCTTCAGTAATCTGCATTATGCAGATGACACAACCTTACTTGCTGAAAGTGAGGAGGACTTGAAGCACTTGTTACAGAGGATCAAGGAATGCAGCCTTTGGTTTGGATTGTATCACAATGTCAAGAAAACAAAGATTCTCACTACTGGACCAATCGATAGGCTATACCATGATAAATGGAGAGGAGATGGAAACTGTCAACAGCTTTATTTTGCTTGGATCCATAATTAACACCCTTGGTACCAGCAGTCAGGCAATAAGGAGACACATTGCACTGGGAAAATCTGCAGTTAGGGACCTCTCCAAACTATTGAGAAGTAATGATGTCTGTTTGAGAACTTAAGTTGAGTCTGATTCAGGTCATAGTCTTTGTGATTACTTGCTGTGCATCTGAGAGCTGGACAATGAATAAGGATGACAGAAAAAGAATTGCCTTTGAGCTGTGGTGTTGGAGAAGAGCACTGAACACCCATGCACGGACAAGAGAACAAACAGAGATATGTCTTGGAGAAGGTACAGCCAGAGTGCTCTTTGGAGGCAAGAATGATCAGGCTTTGCCTCATACTTTGGGCATATTGCTAGGAAGGCCTATTCCTTGAAGAAGGACATGATGCTGGAAGGGTGGAGGGTCGGCCAGGGAGAAGATGACGCTCAACAAGGTGAATTGACACGGTGACTGCTGCAATGAGCTCTTGTGTCAGGAAGTGTGAGGATGGCACAGGATAGGACCGGGTTCATATCTTTTGGGTTTTTGTTTTGTTTTCCATTGAGGATTTTTTTTTCGTTGAGGATTTTTTATTTGTTTTATTAATTTTAATGAACATTTACAGAGATTTTGGATTTCCATTCATTCATTGTTACACTTTTCTCCGTCCACCC